AAGTGTCATTGCAGCCTCTCTCCTGGACTCCTTCTTCCTAAATCAATTTCTTTTCCAAGAGTCTTGGGTGACGACCTTCATTTGCCAGCACAGAGCAGAAGAACCTGGCTGGGATGTTCCTTAAAGGGGTGACCAAGGCCAGCAGAGGAAAAGTAACATTTTGCAGGAGTCGGAGGAGATTGCTACATTTCTTCAGGGAGCTTCCCTTCCCAGAGTATTAGCAGAAGAAACGTCTTGGACCAGAGAAGCAGATAGCTGTGCTAGGATGCTCCCATAAAGGAACAGAGCAGAGCTCAACTGTATCAGATCTCCAGGAGAGGAGCAGGATCCCTATATCCTGAAGGGAGACCATACCCCACCACTCCCCAGGTTCAGGTATCCCAATAGTCAGGACACCTTTCCTTCAGGGCTGAGCTGTCCCATTGCAGCTCCAGCCTCCAGAGCTGTCCTGTTGTGGCTCTACCCCTCCAGAGCTGTCCTATTGCAGCTCTACCCCCTCCAAGCCTGTCCTATTGTGTCTCTACCTCTCTAGAGCTGTCCTACTGCAGTTCTACCTCTCCAGAGCTGTCCTATTGCTGTTCTATCCTTCCAGAGCTGTCCTATTGCAGCTCTACCCCTCCAGAGTTGCCCTTTTGTGGCTCTACCCCTCCAGAGCTGTCCTATTGCTGCTCTATCCACTTCAGACCTGTCCTATTGTGGCTCTAGCTCTCTAGACCTATCCTATTGCTGCTCTACCTCTCCAGAGCTGTCCTATTGCTGCTCTACCTCTCCAGAGCTGTCCTATTGTAGCTCCACACCTCCAGAACTGTCCTATTGTGACTCTACACCTCCAGAGTTGTACTACTGCAGTTCTAAGTATATCCTGGCTTCCCAATAAGTCAGGATATCCCAATATCACTACTGTACCACATTCCCCTACATTTCCTTCAACAGAAGAATGGATAAGTAAAATACAGTACAGTTAAACAATGGAATAGTAGTATTCAACCATTAAAACATGACATCTGAGAATGAATAAAGAAAATGTGCTACATTTACACAATAGAGTCCTACACAGCAGGGAAAAAATGATGACATTTGAAATTTACAGACACACAAGTGGATGTAGAAAACATCATATTGAGTGAGGTATCCCAGACACAAAAAGAAAAATATAATATTTACTCACTCTTAAGTGACTTTTAGACATAAGGCAAAGGAAAACCAGCCTATAATTCACACACTCAGAGAGTCTAGACAATAAAGAGGATCCTAAGAGAGACATACATGAATCTAATCTACATGGGAAGCAGAAAAAAACAAGATATTCTGAGTAAATTTGGAAAGTAAGGGTCATGGGAAACATTAGAAGGGAATGGGAAGAAACTGAGAGGAGAGGAGGGGAGAAAAAATATAGCTCAATAAAAACAATAAAAAATGCATCATGAAATTTGGAGAGAAATGGATGGAACTAGAAAATAAATCATACTGACAAATACAGCACTTATTTGTTTATATGTGGATATTAGCTGTCAAGCCAATGGCAACCAATTTACAATTCATAGAACCATAGAGGCTAGATATAAGAAAGGAACTAGAGGGACCAGATCTTGTTAGGAAAGAGAAATGGGATAGATAGATATGGATGGATGGTGGGCTGGAGGGAGAAAATCAAGTGGAAAGGGAAATGGGGATTATAGGATAAAATACAGGGGGAGACAGTAAAAACTGAGAGGAATTTGAAGGGTAGTATAGGATTTTAATGCAGTAAAAACTTCATATTTATACATATATAATAATAGGTAGTCTAACACACACACACACACACACACACACACACACAAACACGTATATATTGAAGCAGACTAAATGAAACTGTCCGATAATGGGAAAGACAGTCCCAACAAATGAAGCTTCCCATACTGGGACTGGGTTATAAATAATTGAACTGTTGGTTAAAGGTGTCCCATGGGATTGCTTAAGAACCCAGGTTGTGGCCAAGACCCTAGGTTGCTGACATTAAGGTCCCATTGCTGAGGACAACTCCTACATAACCCATTGAAGATGGAGATGTTGAGCTGGTGCCTACATAGAGCTTGACTTTTATTTGCTATTGTCTTTGGTACAGGAGCAGGCTCTGCATACTCCCCAAAGAGAAACCTGAACACCAAGCCAGCTACAAACCCTTGATCTACATGGTGTCCCATCTGCAAGATATTCTAGGGCAATGGTAGTACAAACCTTGTACAAGTAACCAACAGTAACTGATTTGACTTAAGTTCCACTCTACAAGATGGAATTCATACCCAACACTGCTAGGGTGACCAAAGACCTGGGTCTAGATACCCAAGGGATGTATGATCGAACAAAAATTATACTTTTCTTGTCTTTTTTGTTTTTGATTTCGATTTTGATTTTTGAGACAGGATTTCTCTTTGGAACCTGTCCTGTAACTTGCTCTTATAGTCCCAGCTGGACTCACACTAAAAGAAATCCTCCTTATTTCTGCCTCCTGGGTGCTGGATTAAAGGCATGCATCACCACTACCAAGTAACAAAAAAAGTAATACTTTTATAAGACAAAAAATGACTCCTAATCATATCTTGCTATACTTATGCATAGATCAGTGCCAAGTTCATCTATCATCAAAAAAGCTTGCTTCTGCAGTAGATGGGAACAAATACAGAGACCCCACAGCCGGAGATTATGCCAAGAGTGAGAGAATTTATAACACCCAGTACTAAGTGTAATGTCTTCACCAAATCCCTTCCTCAGAGTTTATGGAATCCCACAGAAAAAAAAGGTGAAAAGGGTGTAAGAGTCAGAGAGAGGGGACTGAGGTAGCCAAGTAAACAAGACCCTTGAAATTAATATGAGCAAAGCTCATAGCAACTTGTAGAGGCCAAGGCACCAGCTGCAGGAGCTGCACAGATCTGCAGTTGTCCTCTGTGTATACGCAGTGGCTTCCAGGCTAGTGATTTCATGGGATTCTTGACTAAATTAGGGGGTTTCTGATTCTTTGCCTTCTTTTGGTCTCTTTTCCTTGTTGGTTTGTCTTGTCCCATTTGGTGTGGTGGATTTGGTTTTATATTTTGTTTTGTGATATTTAAAAAACAATAAACAGAATCCTAGCCTCTAGGGTAAAGTTAGTAGCTGTGTGGTCATTTATACCTGCCGTGTGGGAAAAAAATCAAGTTTTCCAATAGTTTGACCCTGGGTATATCAACCCAGGACAGCCTTATGTTCAGGAGTAATTGATCAACATATAATGAATTCCACAGTTTGTTCTTTTGTTTTTTTTTGTTTGATTGTGTGTGTGTGGGGGGGGGTACAAGGTTGTATTTGGTTACAGTTTGGTGTGTTGATTTTCTTCTTTGATTATGGCTTTATTTGGATTTCCTAGTTTTGAGTGTTTCGTTTATTAGGCTTTAGTTTGCTTTTTAAGAAAAAACTTTAAATTGCTTGGGTAGGAAGAAGTTATAGAAGTACCTAAAGGAAGGAAAGAATATGATCAAAATTTGTTTAGTTTTAAAGATTGTTTAAAATACTTAAATTATTATGAAAAAATCATAAAAAGAGAAAAATAAAAGAAAAAAGGGGGAAAAGAAAGAGCAAAGTAAAGCATACGAAAGAAGGTCATTTTGTTGGTGGCAAAACAAAACACAAAGACTATGAACCTGGGACCTATAGCCCAAATTCTGACAACCACAAAATAAATGCACAGAGTGAATTTCAATGTGAAAAAGATAAAAGAAAATGAGATAAAGTAATTATCTTAATAATGAAAATGTTGCTTTATATACATTATACTCTGACAATTTAACTGGAAGGGATGGGGATTTTCCTTTGGTACAGTTTCTTGGGAAGCCAGTTGAGGCAGTGGACCAGCTAAGTCAGCAGAGCTTGGAGCAGGTGGAGGTGGGGTTTTAGATGGCAGCAAACCAAAATGTAGAGTGCATGGCCAGAACCAAAGACAGCTTCAAGTTTAGACACCTCCCTTTTCTTTACTAGTTAGGTGTACATCTCAGAGGTCCTGCAACCAACTAAATTATACCAGTGGAGACTACATGGCCAAATACATGAGCATTTTGGGGTCATTTCACACTGAAACACCACAGACACTATATTAATACTTTGTAGTAGCAGGTGATTATTTCTTAAGTATAGTTTCTCAGTCCATTTGTCATCTCTCCCGTAAGATCTGTTGTACCAGGACATAGATAAAGGAAGAGTTTACAAAAATCCAATTTTATTAGTCTGTTTCCCATAGCTATAACAGAATGACTGAGGCAAGAAGGTTTATAAAGCACTGAGCTCTGGTTTCATACATGGTCATAGAAATAAAGAAAAGCACAATCTTTGCATTGGTGCCCTCTTAGCTGCTGAACGGTTTTCCCTTTCCCCCTTTTCTTCTTTATTGCATGTTGTGTCCAGTGTGTGAGTGCTTATCTATGTGTATGCACATGTGTATAAACTATGAGTTGATGTTTTCTGTCTTTCTCTGTTAGATTTCAACCTCTTTTTTTGACACCAGGATTTTCAGAAAACCTCCCTCCCCAGAATGGTTTGAACTACCTGGCTACAAGATCTAGTGCTAGGACTGTTTCTGCCCTGACTCCTGGACTGGCTCTGAAGATACACATATGCGTTACAGATTCTATGTTTCATTTGGGTACTAGATGTCTAAACAGAAGTCCTCATTCTTGTTCTGTGGATACTTCTGAACTTCTCAGCCTTCCTAGGCCAACATCCTATGTTCTGATGACGTTATCTGTGGGCCCTCCTATATTACATGGCATTAACTCAAAGAAAAATTGATATATCCCACAGATAAAAAGCATAAAGGGGTGAATCAGCTTGCAATAACCTTCACTGGTGCTATTAACAAAGTCCTTTATGGATTAAAACACTCCTCAAAATAGCAACAAGGTATCTCTAACTGCAAGCATGACCACAAGGTCCATCCAGATTCCAGATGTATATGCACAGAGATTAAACCATATTTAAAGTGTGTCACTTACTGCAGCTGTATTTTAGTTCCACCATCTGTTTTCCCTCTCTGCTTAATTCTGTGACTTCACAGGTGTAGTTCCCTGCTTTCGCCTCATTCTTATTCAGCGTCAAAGAAGCGTCTCCTTTTAAGAAGGCTGAGGTAGAAATCCGTCCACTTTGAAATGCAGGAATTTTAGAGTATGTGTTTTTACTTCCATCAAAGGAAAAAATACGTGTTTTTCCAAAGAACCATACCAAGTACAATTCTTCAAGGCTTTCTGGCTCCATATTTGTAGCATGGCATGGAATGACAACATCCTTTTCACAATCTGTGACTGTCGCAGATTTAATATTTTTAAATAATATCTGAGCTGAACCTGGAAAGGAGTAATACAAATAATTTGATGTAATTCGGCAGTTCTGTAGTGCTAAATCTTAGGTTTATTACAAACACTTAAGTAACAGTGTTATTATTATTAATGGAAGAAAACAACATAACAATGATAGATACCAGGATGGTGAAAAATAGTATCAAGTACTTGAGAAGTTAGATTGTATGATAGGTAGAAAAATAAATGACTTCTTCCTCCAGTTAACCGCTAGTTACTCAAAAGACTACGAAAAAAGAAACACGAGTAGATGCTGCCAATGTGTAGGAACCACCTCTTGGTTCTTCTTAATGGCATAAGCCATCCCTGACTGCCCTAATATACACAAGGCTCACCATTTGACTCAAATGTCAAGGACATAGAAAAACCTGTTGTCTTCCATGTCATTCATTTATCAAGACATTCAGATAAATAGTTTGCTGATCTTTCTCCCACCACACAAAAATTTGCTAATGAATACAAGACATCAATTTTACTAATCCTTAATAATTCCTTCTTCTATATATACTAAAAAAAACTGCAATCAAGGGCATAAGATGTTACTCTAAGAGAATAATTACTAATAAATGCCCATCAAGTGGAAGATTCATGCCCATGAGTTGAAATAAGTACAGTGGAATACATTCTGGACTATGTTCAAGAAAACCAAAACACAAGTACCCTGCCAGGCACATTCTGATGTTCATTGTTAAGCAAACTTGTGGTATGATTGGCATAAAGATTTTGACATTTTCCCCCATAAGTCAAGATTTTTTTTTTTCAAATGTGTTGTTGACCAACTAGTTTTGGGCTGTGCTTTGGTTATCCCTTAGTGTCAAACTGATCCTGGTCTGGTTTGTTCTGGCTTCAACATTATGGGAACATGATGGATGCCAATAGCATGGGCAAGGCCACATTTGAGCAATAAAGAGACAGGAAGAAAGACTTTGTCTGAGCAGGTATATGGTATAAATATTTTATTGTTCTCACAAGCAGTGTCCACTTCACAGCACTGACCCAACATTGTTTCAAAAGCATCAGTTGGCTTTATAAATACTAGACAGACAACAAAAAACACCTTGAAGATCATAGTATAAATGAAACAGTAACAAAAATGCAGACTGGTAATCACTATGCTACAAGCCTAACCTTGAAAGTACTTGGCTATATGCATCATAAATTCCAGATACACATTGTTATTCTCCTTGGTGCTGTGGGGTTTGGTATTCATTTTCCATTCATTTTGGTTTTTATTTTAAGATTTTTTTTTATCAGCAGCTAACAGTTACCCAAATGTTGCTTTGATTAGGTGATAAGCACTCTAGAGCTCTTGGGTTCCCTAAATCTAACACTGCAGGAGGATCTATGGAAGTTTGTTGGGCTATGGCGAGTATGGAGTCATTTAGATATCACATGACTAGGGATACACTTCTGACAATTATGTGAAACTGATAATCACTATTAAAGAGTTAAAAACCTAGTGACTGAACCTATTCTGTGCAATTTACTGCTCTGACTACAATTGCTTTGATTATAATTATGCAATGTAAGAAGAGCCGATCAATATTTAGATTGGATCCAGAAATATAACACACTGCACTGGACCTTTATGCATTTATTTATTTTACTAATGTGTCATTGTGCTGCCTAAGTATGTGATCAGCTGATACACTCCTCAAAATAAAAACATTCCATTGTGATGTAGGAGATGACTTCATATATGATGCCATACACATTTGTAGTTTCCTGTAAGGAGATATGACCACCAACATGGTTCCTTTTTTATTATTAGATTATTTACTAGATTCTGAGAGATTACCAAAAATTTATGGACCTGCATTTTAAGTTTGTGAGCTGTCAAATCTCACATATAAATCTTAATTTAACTGCAAATTCTTCGTTTTTCTTTATTTTCATAGACTTTAGGTATAGTTACGGTGAAATGGAGAATCTAAATTTATGTTTCTCAATGTTTGACCCTGTACAAAAGTCAAAGTCTATCATTGCAGTAACAAGTAGATCAGTTATCACATTAATAACATTAATTAATAATAACTGATCTATTTATAATGTTATAATCATAATTTTATTAGGTAATATAGGTTATTTGGTGAGCTGTGGGTTTCTTTGCATTTTTAGTAGACCAGAGATTATGGTGAGAAACACAGATCTGATCTTGACAATGTTTCTCCCTTTCATGATTCAAAAATATGAAGGTACGTAATTATTTTTCAAGAAAATAGAAGCATATAGAGCAGCAGATCCCCATTGAAAAATCTGCAAGCATTCCCTACACCTAAGTTTTAGGGAACATTTCAGATGATAGGGATGGGGATAGTTAGAGCCACTGAAATAGCTACAAACAGTCTTTCATATATGACAGGGAGTGGAAGCCAAGGAATCTCAAGAACATGGCCACCTAAACACAGCCTACACAATAAAAACATAATGTGCCATCCCAAGATGGAAAGGGGAAATCTCCGAAGGCCCCAACCCTGAATGAGGATCTACAGATAAATGGCTGCAAGAGAGGAAGGAAGGATGCTTTTCTCCAGGGACAAGCTTCCTGATAGCCTATCCAATGTCCAGAGTCCTAACCGACCTTGTGACATATGCATATGAGAAACACTAATGAACTCAGCAGGATGTTGTTCAAATAGGGAAAAAGTGAGGTCAAAATGTAAAATGGGCTTCATAAAATCAAGGACAAATGTGAATTTAACTTACTTAGAAAACATTCAAACATTATGAAGCTCATTTACTTTTTATGTCTTTAAAACTTTAAGTTACATGAAAAGCTTATTTAGAAATGCTTATTTCATACATTTACCTAATTTATTTTTACAAATATTCAAAAACTGTCATTTCCAATTTAATTATCAGATAAAGATGGCCTTCACATTCTTTGTTTTCAAAAACCTTAACAGACAAATAGATATGTCTGGAACAGAGAAACCTGCAGACATGTTGTGTTCTCTCACCTCAAGGAAACTTGCAATCTTATGAGCTTCAGGATGCAACAGACATAATTAAAAGTACTGAACTTCCCCTTAATGCTAGCAATATCAATTATATGTTTACTTTAGTTGGACTAAAAGTATATCAACCATTCTTAAATCCAAAGTACCAGGAATTAGAAACTAATTTGGTTAAAATATTATTCTCTGTGATCAGATACTTGATTTCAGAGACTAATCTTTTATTTTCATTAGGTTCTTAGAGTTCTTTAATGTCTTTTGGTAAAAAATTATATATATATGTATATATATATATCTCATGCAGAGACTATAAAGACATACAAATGAATAGCAAACCCAGTTTTCATTTATAAATGCAGTCGATTAAAATGTCACAGTAGAAAACTTATTAAGACATAAATCAAGTCAATGCCATATAAGAACTTCTATAAGAGCCTGGCCCAGGACTTTGGCAGCACAGGCAGAGCATGGTTTACATGTATATGTGTGTGTGTGTGTGTGTGTGTGTGTGTGTACATAAACTCGTGTGTGTGTGTGTGTACATAAACTCAAGAGAGGCAACCCCACTTGATACAAGAGGTATGCTGACATCACCCAACTTCCCAATAGGTCTCATTTCTGAAAAATTTGACCACCTCTTAACACTGCCCAACTGGAGGAAACTCTACCATCACAGAAACCCTTGGAAGACTAACCACATCCAGACCACAGCAGGAGGCAAAACCCATGAGGAGGCAAAAAAAAACACCTCCCAAATCCCAGAGCTGCATGTGTGTTTTGACTCAAGTTAATGTATTAATATTTGATGAAATGTGTACAACTTACACTGCCTCTTCCAAGTCAACTAGGAAGGTTTCAGTGAACAATTTGTATGTTATTACAGGTGGCTATTGGGGTGGTGAAGTCACAAGATATTTTCCAGATGACTTTTACTGTTAAGTCATAACACAAAATAAAAGTTACCAAGTATAACAAGTATGACAGGAATAAGGATATTTTATGAGATGATTTTTGCCTCCCTCATATTGGATAACAGATTCTCAATACAATCTCTCATACTGCGGGAGAGAAAAGACTGAAGTTTTTTACCACCTTGCAGGAGTGGCTTCAGAGCTGACATGACAGGTGATGGGCTGGAACACACCTCAACTTTGACAGGGATTATTTAGCTATGCATACTCCTGGCCCTTTACATAAACCAAAGCCTCCTGTCATTATCAAGAAGATAGGCTGGGGATAAGAATTATAGGAAATCTGTATTTATCCCCTTTCCTAATGTAACCACACAGAATAAATTTTTCTCTACTTTTCACTATTAATTGCTCTCTAGTAAAAGTGACTTCCTGACTGAGGTCTGGCAAGCCTACCTTAAACTTTCTTATCCCCAGTGCTGACGTTATAGTGGGTAGAGCAAAGTCTCTTTGTGAGGGACTTCACTAAGGCACTCACTTCATCACAAGAATCCAGGACCTTTCTATGCTTATTCTTCAACCTCTAAAACCATGGGAAGGTCCTGGGGGTGGGGTTCTTTGCACTCACATCCTGTGCACCCTGCATACCCCGTGTCACCCTCCTCCCCCTGGCCAGTTCAGGTTTGCAGATCTGCAGTTACCACTGGAGTGGGGTGTGGACTGGGTAAGGCACTCTAGCCTTTCTCCCATTTTGATGAAAAAGAAGGCAGAGGGCGACCAATCCAGGTTGAGACCTCTGAGGTCTGCACTCTGGGCAAAAACTATCAACTGAGGCTGGCAGAGAGCAGCCCACAACCCTCAACTGTGAGATCAGAGCCACTCACCGCAGCATAGAGAACTTAATAGCAGTGTGGTCACCAAGGTCCACATCCCGGCCTGCCATATGGAGGTGGTTACTAGCAGAACCGGGAGGACAGGGACAGAGCATGCGCATTCTGTGGGCGTCAACTGTTAGCATCTCGCGGACTCCTCCAGCAACCCAGAGACCTCCAGTTCATTCTCTTTCTTCAGTCTTAATTACTTGATTAATGGTTTCATCCTCTGCTCCAGGAAAAGGAAGCAAATAGTCCATGCATGGGGAATGGTTTCGAATGGGATGCAGAGAGGAACAGGTTCTGTGCCCGACAGCCCTTAGCAGTGAGTAGAAAGATCCAGGAGCCTCTCCCAGCAGTGTTTCAGGAGCCTGGTGCAGACCTCTGTGCTGTGTTTGAGTGCAGGTGTGGAAAGTGGATTGTAAAATGTGGCTCCAAGGCAGAGTGTGGCTGTGTCACCAAAGCCAAATCCTTCATCTTCAAGCAAAGGCCTTTCTACAGCCACTTTTAACGTTCCTAGTGAGCAATGAACTTGCCAAAATCCCAGTCCCTAGTAGCACCTCTGAGAAGTGCATATCCTCTGGCCAGCTCCCCCTCCCCCACTCCCCAATGTTGGTTTTCTCACATCTGCTTCAGAAGTTTCATTCTCACAGTACCATGCTGTACTAGTGACCTTGGATATGTCTTCACAAACACCCATTACAGTAATATCATCCAGAAACAAAATCACCATTTTCTGTTGATTTCTGTGTTTGTGTCCTGCATATGGTTTTTAAAATATATACGTGCCGTGGGCCATGCCAGAGGAATAGCGAGTTGCAATTGAAGTTCCAGGTGTCAACCCACCAGAAGGGCATCCTCTGATGGATCCATCTCATTTAGGCAATGCCACAGAACTAGAGACACTGGAATGTGTTTTGCATCTGCTGTGTCTTTAGATGTTTTTTCTCTGTTATCTAGCATGGTGTGAGTGGACATGGGGAGGTCTCTACTGCTTGTAATACAGTGTGTTTATCTCTTGAAATTTGGAGAGAACTATGCCTAAATTCCCAAATATTGTTTATAAATGTTTCTTTACATTTTAAAGGGGATATGCTATAGAGATTTGCATTGGTTTGGATCTTGATCTATGGATACAAATTTTAGGTCAATTTGTTATATTTGTATTTCTGTTCTTGATTAAGGTATTCTGTTTGTGCAGTTCATTTAAAAATGTAATGTATAATTAAAAATATAGGTTAATAGATAGTCATCTATAATAGTCAAACGTAGTCATGTTAGTTAAATTTTCTAGATGTACAGAGATGTATTTCAGATGGATAAGTGTTCTTCAAACCTTTCAAATACTACAGAATATGTCATTTAAAATGTTTTAAGAACTTAGCACTTTTCATGACAGTGGGACACATCTGCTCCTGGCAGCACCAATTTACTTCAAAGGGAAGATGGGCATCAAAGAGACACCTCAAGGAGTTTTCTAGCCATTTGGGCAAGAAACTGCTCTTGCCTGGACTGTTTAATGAACTGGACATTCAGGACCCACAGAGAAAAGACTGCTAAACTTGCCTAAATATTAGACGGTCTTTCAGGTTTCCTGATAATGAAAGAGTTTGCTAGACATTCTGCAGTACACAGAAAAAAGTAACTGACAAATTGCCAATATAGGTGGAACTGTCTTTGAAATTTCCTGCTTCATGAAAAAGTCTGCTGGATACTATGGTCCTGTAGACTGAAGATGGATGCCCTAGCGGTGTAGAAGAACTTTGGGTGACTGTCCAGGCAGTGAGATATCTGTGTCAATTCTAGAGTTTTGGAAGTTGCTTACATTGTACTTCCTGTTTACTTAGGTAATATTATATCCTTCTGGAGTCTTTGATGGAGTTAAAAGAGAAGATAATAGTAATATAGTTTTCCTTAGTTATAATAAAAGATAAAGTAGATAGCAATATTGTAACTATTATTCTTGTTTGATACCTGTTTTGTTATATGTAATTTTATTATGTTAAAGTTAAAAACTTCTTTTTTATTTAAACAGAAAAGGGAAGGTAATGTGGAATTTCCCTCTGTATGCTGTGATTACCATTAATGAATAAAGAAACTACTTTGAACCTACAGCAGGGCAGAACTTAGCTACATGGAGGAAACTAAACCAAATGCTGAGAGGAAGAAGGCAGAGTCAGGGAGAGGCTATGGAGCCACTGCCAGAGACAGACATGGCTGAAACTTTACTGGTAGGCCATGACTACATGGTGATGAACAGATTAAAATGGATGAGTTAAATTAAGATGTAAGAGTTAGCAAATAAAAGGCTAGAGTCAATGGGCCAAGCAATGATTTAGATAATATGGTTACTGTGTAATTATTTGTGGACTGAGCAGTCAGGAACAAACAGGTGACCTTGCTCCAACAAATATTGATATCACCATGCTCAAAACTCAAGTCCAAATGGAACAAAAAACCTCAACATAAAGCCAACCACACTGAACCTCACAGAAGAGAAAGTGGGAAATACACTTGAATGCATTGACACAGGAGAGGATTTCCTAAATATAATCCCAGTAGCACAGACACTGAGAGAAATGATTAGTAAATGGGGCCTCCTGGAACTGAAAAGCTTCTGTAAAGCAAAGGACATGGTCAACAAGACAAAATAGCAGCCCACAGAATGGGAAAAGATCTTCACTAACTCCACATTAGACAGTCTGATTTCCAAAATATATGAGCAATTCTTTCCTTCTAACTTCTCACTCACGAACATCTTCCAGTGATTCAAAACCACTCTTCACTGTTAAGTCTCCCCTCAGTCATAATCCTCGGCAACTTTTCATTTCACTATAGTTCCTCTTCAGGGCTAAGATACTGAAAGAATCTGATCTTCATCTATAATGCATCACCTGACACTTGAATAGATAGTCGTGTTTTATCCGCGTTCTCAACAGCAATAACCATTACAGCTACTGATCCCTGTCTATTTCCCAGTTGTCTGGGTATGCCTTTCCTGGCCTGATATGTTCACTTGTGCAAAACTATTGAAAACCTGGTCTTCATAAAGATAACTCTCCTATAATATCTTTGGATACATATGCCAATCCTCTCACTAACACTGAGACAATGCCCAGGATGAACCAATTCATCAGGCTGTCACTGTGAACATAAAGTGGGAATAATCTCAGACCACGCTGCCAGATGACACTCCTACATATCTGGAATCAGGAGAGGGGTTGGTGACTTCATGTCACTTTAATCTGTCTTGTTTGTACTGAACAGCATCAAGGGCTTAGTGGTCTCACCTGTCATCTCAACTGCTGCTGCAGGAGCTGAGATGTCTCCCTCTGCCCACCAACTGCACATTGCTGCACCATAGTGTCCAAAGAGCAAGTTAAGATGCAACTTAATTTGAGAGGTTGTTCTCAAGCATGGCGCCTAGACCAGTGGCAGTTGTGGCACCTGGGAGCTTCTTAGACAGGATTCCACCAGCTTCCATCAGTTCACCCTTGAACTGATGCCATCCTTATTGATCCTCACAACTCGAGTAATTTTAAGATATTTACGTGAACACAATCTTGTCTTGAAAATTTTCCTCCCTTCAAGTTTCCTTGAAAATGTCCATATTCTGAAATGTGTATATTTAAATTGAAATGCTATGCTACTCCTAGGTAAACCTATGCTACTCCCAGGTAAACCTAATTTATCTTTAAGGAATATTTCTCTGAGTGTCTTTAGGACTAGTAATGTCCATTTTTTTCTAGATGATGGGTTCAGGGGTTTCATGGGACTATATGGAATAGGAGAGAAAGAAATCATACTGTATCATCATAACTCAATATTTGGTCATTATCATCTGCCACAGGGGCTGGAACACCTGGAGCATGTGAGAGTCTACTACCATACAGCCCTTGTCTTCATTTGCCCTCAGACGGCCAGCAACATCCTGTTCCTTCTGAGCACTGAAACTCTACACATGGAATAGGCTACTGAGGATTACTTGCTGATAAATTGCTCTTTATCAGTGGTTACAGTGGTCTCTAAATTTTGGCTGATAGTACTACATTGTCTGATGGAACTGTTTCTTCCTACAACACAAAGTCTATGAAAGGCATCTGGGAAGTAATTTCCAAGTCAAAAATTCATACTTCAAAACCTTTTTCTTCTTTCCACCCTTAAACTCCTTGTGGTACACAGAGAATGGTGTGGAATTTAAAAGTTCATGGAATTCACTTGTGGTTCATTTTTCAATACATACACCCTTACTCACCCAGTCTGTTTCTTTGGGGGAACAGCATCCCGTGCTAAACCAGTTTCTCTTCTTCTCCCACGATATTTTTCTGACAGTGGTATTGTGACCTAAATCCCTGATTCCTTGAGTGTGTGTCATGACCTCATAGTAGGTCATGTAATTGAATGTGGGGGTGCAAAAAAAAGTCAACTGTAAAAGGTTACTGATAAGCAACAACCAACCAAAACTTAGTTCAAAATCCAACATGTAATGAATCCATGTGTGTCTGGCAGCCTTCACCTGTACTGAATCAGGTAACTTCACCTAAGCCTTGGTTATGAACAT